GCTGGGGGTCTCGACTAGCGGCCCAAGTACCCCATCTGTACTGCTGGAGCGAGTTGGCGAGAGTTTGTGGCGGTATTGCGAATGTCGGTACATCGGACAAACTTGGTCCAATTTGATGGAGTTCTTTTTCTTCTTTTGGTACGAGAACTAGTATGTCAATTGGATGAATTTGTAAGAGAAATTCTCCTCACTTCATCTATTTGTGCTCGGCATTACTATTGCAGAAATGTACCCGCTGCTCCATCAGTTCCATAAGGATCATCATCTCGAAATTGTCTTTGGGCTCCGTACGTCGGCCCCGATTCAAATGCGCAATTCCCTCATGGATATGATTGATGACAGCGACAGAAGTGAATTCATCTATTAAGTAATAGCAACGCCCAATCTTTAGTCTATTTAAGTCATAACATCATTATCCATGCTGTAATTCCAATGAGCATGCTCTGTAATCGTGCCGGGTGTTGCGCGTGAGCAAGAATGGTATTCCATTCTGCAAACCTATATGATACCCAAAAACATATGCTGAAAAGCAAAAAATATTCTATCGTGGATTCTCATCAACTGCCTCTTGCGCCTCCTCCTGAACCTCTCGCTCCGACAGCTTTGGGTTTCTCAACGCAAGAGAAAAGATGATCATTGGTATGCATAAGAACAGGCCAGCCAAGCATAACAACTTCTGAACAGATTGATAGCTCTCGATAATAGCACCTCGGATCTCTGTGCCGACCGGGTATTGTGCCACCACGGGGAACGGCGAATCATACATGTCCCTAGCTAGCGTCTCATTTGGTTGAAAGGCCAAGTTCTTCTTCAGGGTCGGGTACAGCGTTTGGCTCCATATGGCACCAGCCAAGCAAGTTCCAAACGCACTTCCCACATTGTAGAACGACAAGTACAGGCCGGTCAGAATGGCGACATGATCTCGGGACGCGGAGGCCTGGATAGAGGCCTGGGTGGGATAGGCGAATAGACCGCTTGCAAGACCGATGAGGACCTGGCCACTGATGACCCCCGCTTGTGAATGAGGCGTTGCCCCACCGGGAAAGCTATGGAGAACGACAAAGGCGACTGTGAACAAGAGCGTGCCTCCGACAATGATTGCTTTCAACCTCCGGACCTTGTACACAACCAGACCGACGACAACGCCGCTCACAACGCCAAAGAATGAAAAGAACGACAATATACGGGTGGCGGTGCCGATGGGAAAGTCGAAAGCCACTATCAGAACGGTAAATAAATAATTGCCCTGAACATACCAGGCAAAGTTCAGCAAGCTCCTCACCGCCAGAGCAGCCCATACACCACGATCAGCTAGTAGATGAAAAGGGACAAGGGGGGTCCGCGCGCCACGTCGCTCCCAGAAAATAAAGGCTGGTATGCAAATGAACCCCACGATCAACGACACAATGACGTAGGGATTTCTCCAATGCGAGGTCGTACTGCCGATAGCTGACACAGGCGCAAGGATAAAGCTGAATCCTGCCACCATCGTAATAAGTCCAACAGCATCCAATTGGTGCGCCAGCCCACTTGTCGACTTGCGAATGCCGACAAAGCTCCAAGTGCCCTTTACATCCCTCGGCACATCATCCTTGGACGACGGTACCCGTTTATCAATAGAGTGCAATGTGAAAAGTAACGGCAACGAACAAATAGGGTATATGAAACACCACATGCCGATGCCCCAACGCCAACTTGTAACAGCCAACACCGCAGACGTTACGCTTCCGCTAATCCAGGTGTTGATGACAAACGGCAGGGCAGGGATGTAGCTGAAGAAGACGCGCGCACGCATAGACGAGAAATCGGCGACTAGCACCTCGAGAAGCAGCACTGTGCAAGTATAGCCTATTTGATATATGATTGCACCAGCGCAAAAGGCATACACGGAGGAGGCAGTGGACTCAATAGCCATGCCGACGACGTAGCATATTGTCGAGGCTAGAACGATCTCGAAACGACCGAAGATGTCGGCAATCTTGGCGGCGGTGGGCTGCACGGCCACGGCGATGACACTTCGCAAGACATTGATGGTCGACAGATAGGAGTGCAGTGAGAAGCTCGAGGTCGCATATGGTTGGTAGGTTGTGCGGACTTGACTTTCGAGGCCGTAGGCGTATCCGACGAGGAAGATGCCAAAGAAGAGCCACACTCTTTCGGAGGTGGTGATTTGCGAGGCTACACTGTCGACACGAGCCACTCCGGCGGCTCTACTGCGCACGCCGCCGGGGAGGAGGGACGAATGCTCATGCGGAGCATCTTCAGAGGTCCGTGGTGAATATGGCGAGGGTTGGTGATAAGGTGCACTACTGAAAAGTGTTGTTCGGGAAGTCGAGCGTGACATGGTGATGATAGTTAGTGTCGTGCGTGGCAAGAGCCTCAACCTAGGCAGCCGCCGTGATCAAGATGTATCACAAGAAGACTAATAGCTTCATCGAATCATATTATCGATAAATACACGCAGGATATAATATAATAACAAGTCAAGAATGAAGAAAAGGAGGTAAGTTCACTCAGGGGGCGAGATGACAGGCTGTCACTGCCACCGTGACCAGGCTGACAGCGGCACAGAGGGCGAGTACAGGAGCACAGGAGTACAAGAGTACAAGAGTACAAGAGTACAAGAATAACTCGCCTGAACATGCCATCTGCTGACATGGGTCACTCTTAACTGGGACTTACTTGACTGAGACAGGCAGCCAACTGGATCAGATAAGATCACTAAGCGCTGAGTACAGAAGTACTGGGGGGCAGAATCCATTATAATCCCAGCGCTCAACGGGCCGTCCCAGGCTAACCCCCAGCCAAAAATTCAGACAGTGTCCACTGTAACCACGTCATCTGATGGCGTGGGCCAGTCACTTGCCCACCAACCCACTCCCTGAAGCCAAACATGCCTGTCCGTGAGGCTACAGCGGGTGTCGGAACTTCGATTTTTGTGTCTCGTTGGCGGGCTTTCGGCCAGGACTCAGTCACAGCCATCCCAGATCCTGCTCTCCCAGTGCCTGACCTTGACGCCCTGCTTTGCTTGTCGCTTCTCTTGCCTGGCACATGGTGCAGTATATCCACCAGCCATCAGCCTCTTGTGGATATTGACCAACCTCTGTTGAGTACGGAGCACCATTCATATATGATGTGCATCCTAACTGGAAATGAGGACTTCGTACTCCGTACTCCGTAACGGCAGGCCGCCAACTAACTACTGGTAACTACATACATTGCAAACTCCATTTGTCACACCACCCTGGCTCTCTCTAAACTTGGAATGTGGACCCGGGCTCAAAATTCGACGACACGGTCGGAAGCCCGCCCAGGTCTCACCTCCCCCGCCCCCCATCGCCCATCCAGCTCTGATTTCCCTGTTTGCCTGTCCCACGGATTCCGAGTATCGCCTGCAATCGTCGGAGATATTACTCTACCCGGAGTCTCGCTAACCGACCGTCGGATTCCGACATCGAATCGTAAGGTGACAGCACATTATGGGGCACGGTGCCCAACAAATCCGCATTTTCACGCAGCGAATCCCCATCTATGGAATCGTGGATTATTGGGCAAGAACCAGTCAACAGCTGCCTGATCGAGATGCTGCAGGGGTGTTATGCACGCCGGGCAACTACTTTCTGTCGACAGGAGTCCATTTAGGGGAGGGTATGTGGCACTCAGCCAGCCAAGCAGTGTAACGACCGGATGGTCACCCATGTTTGTAGCACACGCAAGCTAATATGTTTGTAGCACACGCAAGCTAATATGTTTGTGTGGACGTGATTCTTAACCTGGTGAAGCGCGACTGCTGGAGTTCCTAACTTACTGCTATACGGAGCGGCATATATATGAAATTCACCGCGCCAAGAACGCAAAGGGATCATCGTTTGCGTCCGTATTTCGAATATACTCAGACTTCTTCGCGATATCACCCGCCACGTCTGATCCATACACCTCAGACACAAAGGCGTACATCATGTCTATGCCCGCCGAAATCCCTGATGACGTCCAGATATTCCCGTCCGTGACCCATCTAGCCTTTGCAACCCAATTTACCTTTTCACCGACGCTCATGACCTAAGCAGTTTGTAAACTCTGTCAGCTTGCCACTCACGTCGGGCTTGTTCAAACCAAGTCTTAGTAAATGCAGGGAAATGAGGTTCCTACCCTCTCAAGCCTAAGTTTGTTCGATGTAGCCCTCTTTCCATCTAAGACCCCCGCTCTCGCAGCCAGTGAGCTTCCCGTGCAAACTGTCAGTAGGTACCGCAACTTCGGGTACGTAACCCGCAGAAACTCGACGATTCGCTCTGTCGACTTCAGCTCCCACGTGCCTTTCCCACCCGGTACAAGAAGAACCTCTAGGTCCTCTGGAGGATTGTCAAACGTATGCGTGGGAACAACAGACTGGCCGATGGCCTGGCTTGTGGGATCGTCGACTTTTGTTGACACGGGGTCTAGGGTGGCTGCTATGATGGAGAACCGAACCGGAGCGGTGTTGGATAGAACGTTGAGGATGTCGACACTTCCGAAGACGTCAAGAGCTTGGAAGCCAGGAAAGAGGATAACTCCATAATGGGTTGGAGGGCTATCAGCTACGGGAGACATGTTGGCTTTTGACGATGATAAAGTGGAAGTTGAGGACTATGGGAAAACAGAAACAGCATAGTTAGACGGTGAGACGATAAGGTGAGCGCTCGGATTGTATTTGCATTGAACTTGAAGGCCCCACTGCGTCGTCATTGACAGGCCCTCTGTAACATGTTGGTGTCAATTGATATCTTTGCCAAGGTTATCGTGGCCAGGCTACGATACAATCTTGGACGTGTAAAGTAATCTTAAGCGTAAAAATAGAGAGTGATAACTACCGACGTGCAATAACGGCTGCCACCCACAAACGTCGTAAGGCTTGTCCAAACCGGTAGAGTGGTGCAGGGTGCTATCTTATCAGACCGTAAGAGAATATAATGGAGATTAAGGCTGTATATCTGGCATAACAGGGATCAAATCCTGGGATTTCAGCGGCCTTGGTGTAACGGTTAGCATTAATGATTTCCATTCATTAGATTCGGGTTCGACTCCCGAAGGCCGCAAATTATTTTTTTTGGCGTTCTTACGCATGTTTCTATCATTATTTTTTTTGTATTTTTCTGTTGTCCTTTTTATGGTTCCCCTTGCCCATGAAAGGGAATCGAGTCAGTCAACACGATGATGGCTTAGAGTGGATGATTGACGAGCACAAATTGCTTCCGTGCTCGCCGGCTAGTCGCGAACTGGATCTCTCGGTGAAGTCGCGGGACGTGGCGCATTCGCATTCATCGTATTCTACTACAACCAGCAACGCGAGCCCGCCTGCACGCTAATGAGTGACGCCACGATATGGCGCTGGGCTGCACGTCTCGTGAGTGTGACAATGAAAGATCCTTATTAGCCATCACTTGAAATATAAAATGTCGACGAGAAAATCACTGCGTAGCATCAACCAGTCCACGACTTTATCAAATTAGGTGAAACGAAAATTACAATACCAAAACCTTGACGTAATCCAGACCGATATGTGCGCCGCTCAGCCTGATCTGGCAGCTCCGAGGCAATTCATCATCGATAAACCTTCATTCAAAAAGGAATACGGCATCTCGCCACGCCACAACCCTTCTTATAGGCAATACGTCCGCCTTCGCGTTGCCGCCACGTCTTCATACCCCGACCTAACTCTCCACGACGGCGTCAATGCTCAAGCCCCCGTCGTAGGAGTCGCATACATCGTGAAATTTAAAGTCGGCTTTAAAATTGGCTTAGGAGATCCTACCAATGTTAGTTCCATGATTTGGGAAGATCTCAAGAGTGAGAACAAATTGAACAGCGCTTTTGGCTGGTCTATGGAACTGCCTCTCCCACAGGATTCTGTAACAGACAGTACCAATTGGGCTGCCTGCGAAAGAAGGTCATTTATGTGGAAGAGGACACGGAGGGTTGCGGTAGATGGGGTGTCAATTCATGCGATAAGTATGAGGAACTGGAAGCTTGTTGATGATGAGGGAAAATTGGTGGCCGTCTTTACGAATAATATCTCGAGGGGTCAAGCGGGCACGTTGCAGATGAATGTGGACTTGGGGGATGCATTTGAGAAGATGGCTCTGATGACGTTGTTAGCAGTGTATGAGCGGATGAGGAGGCAGTAGTGACGAAGGCGATTGGAGACGGAGACTGATGTGTTTTGGACATGAGCAGCTTGCCCATTTTGTATTGAGAGCATTCGTCCGACCACAAATTATTTTGTCATATATCTGGTATTTCGCTTACGTATTCATCCATGCCCCCCTGGGGTCTGCGCCTGCACTTCTGACGGCATAGTTAATAGTCCGAAGCAGAATGCCTTTGACATTTATACAGACATGAGCGCTTTCCGGACCGCAGTAAAGCGGTGTACGGAAGTACTCTGTCGGTTTGGTGTGGCCTAGGATAGAGACTTCTGAGACCAATTATCCATCGAATCGCTGCCAAGTTGTCGAATCTCTTTTTGAAAATCTCGATGCTGACTGTAACCTTTCGCCGGCAGCGCAAGTATGCCACGTCCGGCTTCGGGGCACAATCTAGAGCATAACAAGATATTATCCACGGACAAAAGTTATCGAACCACCAACCAATTGCTTGCAGGATGAGCTTCGCCCCGAAGCCTGGTCGAGAGGAATACGTTGCGACACGCTGTGCAAAGTCGCGTGCCAAAGGGAGAAGTCATGCAAGGCAATCGATTAAAGAATCCAATTATCCTCCAAGGATCTCAAAATCGTTTCTTCAGGTACAAGTCAAATGGCGTAAGCGGGGCTGCCTGTAACGACATCAAAAGAAGAACACGCCAAGGAAGCTCGGCATTTGCAGTCGCTCATCCCAGGCGGCCTGCTGGCCCGAACTGTCGCCAGTCGCGGTCTTAGACCACACTACCTGCAGCGCAGAAATGGCATCCAAAGGGGTCAACGTTCCAAGATACCAGCAAAGTCTGTGCAAATATTTGCAAATGAAGGCCTTTTCGTGCGCCATACCTTCACCTGGATCCAGTTCCATACCCGCAATCCAAAGGGTCCAGAAAGTGAACTTGCCCAGCCATACCAGGTCGCTACTCTTTTCTCTCGCCCAGAGGCGGTGCAAGGCAGATAAAAGACTTTCGAGCGTTGACTGATGAGGCTGCTCGGCATCTACGAAGGGTTGTTCCTCTGCAAGGATTCTTGCGGCCAGTGGATATGCAAATACGTCGGCGATGGATTTGCCGCGGTCTATGTAGAGCGTTCGGATGCAGTACAGCAAGACGGCGCACTGGTAAGCTCGGGCGATGTCCTCGCACATTGCACCTATAGAATTGCTGCCGACGACGGAGGTTACGGTTTGCGTAGCATTCTCGTAGGATACCGTGGATAATGAAGACGCATCAGATAACTCCGAGCTGGTCGAAGACAGAGAAAACTCTCGTAGCTGGGTTTGCGCCCAAAACGCAGGGTTAAAAGACACAATACGATAAAGGATTTGAGCGCATGTACTGTCCAAATCAGGACTGTCGTTCATGAAACCTTGGCTGAGCAGACGAACGTGGTTGATCCTAATGATTGACTCTAGCAGCTGATTCGGACAGGGAAAATCGATAAATTTGCCGTTCTTATAGACAACGTCTAGGAGGGGGATGTAGTCGAGTTGGCCGAGAGTATGCCGACGGTTGAGCTTGTGGGTGGGCATGCAGACTGTGCTCATTATGTCCATGCTGCAATATCAAGTTAATATCTCTCAGTATAAAAGCACAAGAGAAGACAAAATATAAACCTACAGCATGAAAGTCGTCAAGGAATGTCCCATTGCCGAGTCTGGGTCCAACAGAAGGTGCTTAAACCCTCCGCGATCATCGATGATGGTCCTTGCGGCATGGAGATGCGTTGCCCAGGCGCCAAATGCGGATTGTTGAATCTGCAACTGTCAGCAGACTATCTTACCATTTTGATAGCTGAGCCAGTTTCAAACGATATAAACGCTGGAAAGCGGATAATCGTACCTCTACTCTCGTCAGACCAATAACGACTGACAATATTGTATCACTAAAACGAATGTCCTTGTCGTTTAACTCCTCACTGAGTACCTTCAACGTCTGCTGCTGATGCCTGTATATGGTGCTGACGGCAGGGTTGGGAAAAGATATCATTCGATGCCTCACCACACTGACAGACTGGGTACCCGCGTTTTCCGTCGTCAAAGGGAAGTCATCCTGTGTTGCCTGGCATCGTATGACTTGATGTGTAAGGGAGCAGGATATTACCAGGTCCATGACCACATCGGGAAACCACCGCCAAAACTGTGTAGGCAATTTGTGAGGGTTGGCACCAGTGTTTATGAGTACCAAATCTGGCGCGATCTGCTCGTTCACTGTGATAAGCACGTTAGTCCTAACAAAGATCCTCGGAACACATTTCCGAGCTTCCAACCACATACTGTATTCCAACATAGACAAGGCCAGAACGTGATCATAATAATCCACAGGGGTAGGTCCAGCCGAAACACGTTGCATATCGCACATAGCTTTCGCGCCATCTTTCGAGAACCAGCGGTTTGCTACAACCCACTTTGTTTGACGCTGCAACTGAGTGGTGGACTGAGGATTCACAAGACTTGCTTCGTCTGCACCGGTCTTGCTCCTCTCCATGAGAACCAGCTTTGGCCTGCCTCTCTTCTTGACAGCTGCTGACATTGGCTGCAACTCACTTCTTGACTGCCCAGTGGTTGTCGAGCCCGCTGTCAAACCCGTGGTCTTGCCAGCCCTGTCCAACGACGTTGGCAGCACCCAAAGAATTGGCTGCGGGCCATAGCCCAGGCATTCGACTCCTCTGACTGAGCATTTCTCACACGTAGGTTTCGCGGCGTCACAGCGCAGGCGTTGGCGTCGGCAGGTATGACATGGTGCGTTCTTCAGTCGACTCGCCTTGATCGTGCCAGGCGTGCTGGCCGTGCCAATTGCAGCGGATGAGCTACCTGATTGAGACGCCGTCTTCTGGTCTGGCGACGTCGTCATTGCATTTGCATGACTGAACCTAACGGGCTCTTAAGGTTGTGATTAACAACATTAGAGGGCATAGATAGTTGTTGAGAGGATTGAAAATGATAGGTAGGCAACTAAAATAAGCTCGTCACCGCGAAAGTAGGAGGCGGGGACATGGTCCCGGATCATATCTAAGAGCTGAATGGTCAACCTAGCCGATTGGGTTTGCTCCCTCTCAACAGGGGCGGGTGTTGTGTTGCCTCCTGTGTGCAGTGTATAGCAGCACTAAGCTAAATACTGACATGGTGAAACCGGCGTACGGAGTTGTCATGGGGGCGCTGCCATCGTGGCTGAGGGCCAGTGGCTGCAGTACCACTGGGCTCTGCTTGGACTCTGCTCGGGCTCTCCGTTTAGGCTCCGCTTAGATCTCGCATCAGTTTTCGGATAGTTACTCCGCATGCTTTCCCGGTTTGCGGCAGCAAGACATGCGAAACACACAATGCGAAATAGAGGCAGGGAGAAAACAGAGTTGCCAGCATCTATAGGTCGGTGAGAAGATTGTTTTGCCCGGCACGCGCACATAGATTAGCTAGTAGGCTTGCACTACGTAAACAGCGTCCACTGCGAAGCGGCATCATCGTCAATACCATTGATGCCTATCAGTATCATCCAGTCAGACCCCTTGAATGCGGTAACTTGTGCAAGAGATTGCCGTAGTAAGCCCCGCATGGCGAATGCCGGCAGCTGCTGCGGGAATTGCGCGGTAATATACGCGTTCAATGTCGCAATCTTGTACCAAATACTTGTCGCTATATGCAAACAAATATGCACAGCTTTTTTACCAAATTCAACATATGTTCAGAAGAGATACTGCTATGTCCAGACTTGATATGTAGGTAATATGGTACCTGACGTAGCCGCATTTGCGAATTTAGTGCGTGACAACGCCACAGCTGCCAGGATTGTTGTCGCAATTACACTTGGATTGAGCATTGACCCAGCCAGTAAGACGGCTGCGAAGTGTCATGTCAGAGATGGTTTCCCAGTAAAATAGATGTACTGGGTGCTTACTTGGCAATG